ATTTGGTCACATCCGTCTGTCTGTGTGTCTGTATGCAAACCAGTGCCGCAGTTATTGAGACCGACCTTTCAACCAAACTTCGGACACAGTTGCGGTGTTATATTTTGAACAATTATTTGTCGGAACGGGATCTATGGGACCACTACATCATTTATACAACCGGCTCTTCAGTTATAAAAGCAAATCATCATCTAAGAGCGTTATATTTGATATCCTACACTTTTGATTGCCACCGAAGGAGGAATATATCATCTAGCCGCAAAACACCCGATTTCTCAAGTTGAGAGGTTTTTGCCCATAAGACTTGAGCAAAGCATTTGAAAGGATATTTTTATTCATTATTCGGAGTCTCTATCTTCCTTTCTAAAATGGCTTTCATCATACTTAATTGGTTGAAAGCAAAAGTAGTTTCATCATCACATGAAATATCAGTATCGTTCGGTGTTCCTCAAGATAGCCACCTTACTCTTTCTTAGTTTCACTAATGACCTTCCAAATGTAGTTCTGCATTCTAAGACCCTCATGTGTGCAGATGATTTCAAGCTCTTTAAATCAGTTCGTTCTATTGAAAGTAGAGAACTTTTGCTACTTGACTCAAATAACTTGGTTAGGTGACGTGATTCGAACTGTGTGTCACTAATTTTAAAACAGTGCCAAAATATAAATGTGTTTCTCCAGAAATTTCTCCGATTTTTCACCTTGTGATACATATTAACATAAATTACTGACTTTAACGATTTATGTGTCACAATGGACCCTAAGCTAGATTTTATAAAATATAAAAACTATGTGTTAATAAGGCAAAAGGCGTCTTAGCTTTCATTATACACGCGACTAAGTAGTTTTAAGTAGTTACCAAACTAGTCTTTACATCACGTGTTGACGCGTTAAGAAATTTACACTGGAATGCGAGTAAGGATCTTCCTCTTTACAAATGTCCTTTGCGGTTCATTAATCTACCTACACTGCATACTCAAAGAAAGCTACTGGGAGTATTACTTTCTTTTAACTAAATTGATAAGAAGTGTTATCAAGAGCCCATTCCTTGCACATCAAGCTTAACCTAATCATCCTTTTAAGTTCATCTAGACACCTTAGGCTTCTATCATTGAAATGCACGACCCTTTAGGATTTTGTGCAACCATTTTATACTTAATTTCGCTATCATTGATTACTCTGACTCTTTTTTCTTTATCAAAATCTATTCACTAAGAGCTTTAAATAATTCAGAAATTTCCATCTCCACTTTCTATATATAATAATTTATAGCAGCTGATAACCCAATATGTAGTGGTTTAGTGTAAGAAGCAAGTGTAAACACGGCCTTACTTTAGACGTGACTGTAACTGTTTTTCGTTCACCGAACTATTGGAGTTTTCAACTAACCTTCAGGCGTGCAAGAGGTGGGTAACACACCTGGTTCTTCGCCAAAAAAAGAAAAAGAGAAAAGAAAAAATGAGACCGAATATCATCGAATTCGGATAAATGCATCATATATCCCCTTAAACCAATTTTTCAGATATGAAAATCACAATTTAAGCCTAGAATGAAATACCATAAATTTAGGGATTATACCATAGAAGGCATGGCATGATCGAAGATAGCACTGTTTGAATTAGATATACAGATATTTAGAAATATGTACATATATGCCAAAGTATGATTGTACGCAGTGGGTTTACGAGTATTAGCTAACTTTGTAAATATGACTTGTAAGCATTAATAAAGCTTAATAAATACCTATGCTTTAAGAGCGCCTAGAAACGGTATATCCAACACTTTATTTGTTGTTAAATATTTGTTAATATTTTTATATATGCACATTAGTATGCACGTGTATGTGTGCCAGTATTTGTTTACTCGCGTAAAACATTTAACGCTTAGTAATTAACACGCTTCTTAATGGCAGCAGGAAACGAAAATAATATACACGTACATATGTATATTGGCATGTGCAAATTACGTAGAAAAATGTTGCAAATTATTGTCTAGTAAATCACTTAATGTTCGATGCAATAAAGGTGTTAATTGGAGACGGCAAAGTACAATGGAGCAAATGCCTAAGCTCTTTGCACTAGGAGTAAGCATTTATAGACTTTAGTTTCGGGGACACTTTTTTTTTAGCTTTGTGTATAACCACAAAAGACAGGCCGATAGTCTTGAATGTAAGAAGAAACTGTTATTAGAGGCGAGGTAGATGGAGACATGTAAATATGAGGTACACATGTATTAATGTATGTAATACTCAAATGCATATAAGGACGGAATATTCGATCACTTGAACGAAATATAGAAGTCTTTTGTGATAACTCCCCATTGCAGAAATATATGTACAGTGAAACTTTCCTGAACGAACACATTCCTTTAAAGCAAGGTTGACCGAAGCTGAAGTGGGCAACTCTATTATGCGGGCAATTTTTTCAAGTCCCTTCAACTTTTTCCCTTACAAATTCACCTCTGATAAACGTACAACTCTATTGAGCGGACAAAAAATCTGGTGTTCGCTCGCGGGAAGTTTCAATGTATATTGGAAATTTATGAGTTTTCGAGCAATTCGAGCAACAGAAAAAGTTTTAAAATATTTTTTTTGTATAAATTTCCGAAAAAAGTGAGAAAAAGTAAGACAACATGGCAAAATATTTATGCAAAAGTTCGATTTCTCTCCGCTTAAATACTGGCGCTGCTCAAAAATGTTCGAACAAATTCTTGAACTCTACTTCGTATACAGTTTTCCTAGCAACCAAATAATGGAATCTTGCAAGTGGATATATGAAAACTGCAGTGAAACAAGCTCCCTGCTGATATCTACTCGCATCATGGTGCGAAAACTTGGCATGAATGAAAAAAAAAAATTTGGCGCGCTTTTTTAACGATCAACTTACTCAACAGAAGCACATAGAATATTCTTATAGTAGCAATTATATACATACATGTACATATGTATTGTACAATATATTTACAAATACTTCCACATAAGGTATACTCAGTGGCAATTACATAAAAGTTTCTCAGGCTTTCACAATATTTTTATCTAATTTATCAAATTTCTCATAATACTTACATACACATACACACACACACACACACACAGAAAGAGATGGGTAACGTAGAACTTAATGAGCTTTTTGATAGGCCGGCATTGATAAATTAGATAATACTCTCACGCACAAATATAAATATTTTGTATAGGGATACCAACTGATTTTTAATCTTTAATTAAAACCATCACCCGTTCAGAGGCGGCTCAGTATAGACTTGGACCTACATTTGTTGGAAAATACATCAAGAAGCATGCCACAAATTAGAGCCGGAGCTCGGCCGAAAATTACTTAAGCTGTTTGTCTATTTTTTATAACAGTTCATACAAATATTTACCGTGGAAATTTCTTACCGACTTAGTTATAACAGAAAATCAATACAAAAACACGTAATTATGGTGCGCTTTACTCCAAATTTGGTCGATAAGTAAAAAATACTGTTACTATTGTAGTCTCCCACACGCATTATAAATCTAAGCAAGTATAAATCTAAATTTTCCTAAATTCAAACCAAGCTAGAAACAGTCGAAATTTTATCTAGAAAAATAAACAAAGCAGAGTTGCAATATTTTCAGTCAAACATCGATAAGAAGAAAACATCTAGTTGGGGAAAGCTAAAATAGTAACACTGATCCCAACTCGTATTTTGGAATACACTATAACTCAGACAATAAGGAGGTATTTTATATTTTATATATTAGTTCAATACAATACTACCTTCGATATTGGTCACCTCTGGAGCTCATTTTCTTTTGGCATGAAATTTTTAAAATTTTTAAAATTTTTCAATTTTTTTCCTATTTTTGAATACACGGTGTGTCCCACAAATAACCGAACTTTTTGGATATAAAATAAAATACACATTATATTTTCTTTGAAAGTTATTATTCATTCAAGATTGGTTCCATTTGACTCAGCACAACGTTTGGAACGATCAGCCAGCGCATGCATAGATTTTTTTATGTCATTTATAGAAATGTTCTTCAGTACCTCGGTTACGGCTGCTTAAATGGCTGGGATATTACCATAAAATGCCCGCTTCATCTTGGTTTTCAGTTTTGAAAATAAAAAATACTCACATGGTGATAGATCAGGCAAATACGGAGGTTGGTCGATGAGTGAAATCCCTTTTTTCATTAAAAATTCGAACGATTTTTTGGTCGTCATTTAATTCATATGGAACAAATCGCGCACAGACCTTTCTTTTCCCCAAATCTTCAGTTAAAATTCTCCCAATAGTGTTTTTACTCGTATTCAATTGCTTAGCCAACATTCTCGTAGTAAAATTTGGATCGATACCAATGATTTCACGGACTTTTTCCACCAGTTCAGCACGGTTACTAGTTTCTGGACGTCCTGCTCAAGGGTCGTCATTTAAATCCTCACGACCATTTTTAAATCGGGTAAACCACGTATAAACTTGCGTACGACTCATGCAATCATCACAATAAACTTTTTTCATTAATTTTCTTTTCAAGTTTGACACAAAATTTTATATTTGCTCTTTGTTCCATTTTATTTTTGATTGGATTTATTGAAATGGCTGTCACTTTTACATCTGTCATCCGACTTACATGATGTTAGGTGCGTTTGAAAGATGATGAGTGTATCTTTTTAGTGTTGTAACTTTTCAATAGATGGCGCTGTATGTTGTATGATTTAAATATAAAGTTCGGTTAGTTTTAGGACACACCGTGTATATTTGAATATATATAGATAAATGGTTTTTGAGCTTAACAAATCGTATAACTCAATTAGAATTTTCCTTCACGCATCTTGGCAACTCTTATCAGTAGATATGCAGATAAAATTAAAGCTCGACGTGCTGAGAGATACACAGTCATGTAAAGAGTACGCTCGCAAGAGAAAGTTAGCAATTGTGGCTTCGATTGCTATAAAATCAGTGTTAGCTTACATGGATAAGAGTGCGGTTGAAATCAACAAGCGGTAAATGGAATATATCAATAAGAATTGACTTTAATGTTGAGAAACGCTTTGTTAACTAATAGTAGATGAAAACAAGAAAAATATCCCAAAAATAGTGTATAAAACGGAAATATGCAAATGTTTATTAAAAAAATACAACAGCGAAATTAACGGTGCAGATTTTATAGGGTAGTTTTAGAATATTTGAAAATTTAAACACAGCTGGCGGTCTAATTGAAGGTAAAAAGTAATAAAAATCATAGAATGAAATACAAATATAACAAAACAACTGGAGGCAAGAATAAATCATGCAAATAGATGTGTGAACGAATAAAGCAAAAGCGTAAACAAAACGAGTAAAAAGCATAAGTGGCAATAAATTAGGTGAATAAAAGATTAACGCGTGTGTGTATTGTGGAATGAAAGGGGTTGAAAATAAGGTAAAAACAAATTAAAGGGGCTTGTCACATCACACAGCTCATTGATGGAGAGAATAGAGAGGAGCATAAATAAATACAAGCAAGCAGCGACAACACTAAATACTATGCGTACTACATACATACATTTATGATTTGTAAATAATCATGAAATTTAATTTAATCAAAAAAAAAAAAAATAATAATAATAAATTACTCATCATTTGCTTAAAGCGCAATTCAAGGCGAAACAGCTGTTTTTGCGCGCTCTCTACCCACAAAGGAAATTAGGAAAATAACAATAATGTAAATAACAACAACAAAAAGTGTGTCCTCGAAAATGGAAAGTGAAATGTCAGTAAACAAATACTACAGGAATGTCACTTAAATTTTATGGATTTCTGCAAAGTGTGTCCTTGTGCCTTGTGCCTTGTGCGGTAATGCTCTTCGGTCGCTTATGGTGCTTGGGGGTGGCAGTAGCGTTGTAGTGTTTTTAGTAGTTTGGTTGGCTAGCGGTTGTTGTTGCGTTGTTTTCGCACTTTTTTCCATTATGCTTTTTGATTTGTTCTTCCTTCTTGAACAGATTTATACGCTTTGCTCTCAAGTGACTGCCACAAGCGCATACAACAGCAACAACAAGCACAACAAATAAAAAAAATAATGAAAAAGAAAAGTGATTTAATGTGCATGTGGCATATGCACTTAAGCATTATTTTCATTTCATTCGCATATGCGTACATAGATATATACATACCTACTGTGTAAAAAGACGCACATACATACATATGCAACTTACCGGAAAATGCATTTACTGAGAATTTTGTAAGCCACTAGTATCTTTGACGCCATGACTGGTTATCTCATACTCTCATTTCGCTTTAAAGCAACTGGTGAATTTTATGCGGTTTTTGGGCTATATTTTACACGTGAATGTTTAATATTTATTTGAATATATATGTGTATATATATATGTATACATAATTGACGCTATACCACCGCTTAAGCGATTTTCAACCGAGCTCCTCCTCTAATTTGTGATATGCGTTATGATGCTTTATCGATGAATAGAGGGATCGATACTTTATTTCAAGCCGCTTCTGTACGGGTAATGGGTTTTTGAGAGGATCTTTTAGCACATGTGAGAAATATGCTCGGAAGGCTTGACATTCCCTGCCGAAGGGCGGCCGCCATAACAAAAATTTATTTTCTATAATTTTATATGTTGCTCGTACCCGGATTCAAACCCATATATTTCTTAGGTCATTTCTATTGCATTTCAATAATCGGTATGTGCGATCCACATTCAATTCTGGTCATGTTTGTTTGCTTAATGAGCAAGTCAGCGATTCTCGCCTCCGACATTCCGGTATTGCCTTGATACAAGTAGACAGAGGTGTATTAGCTCCTTAGCTAAATCTAATTGATGCCTAATATTTCTACTTCATAAGCCGCACAGTTTCTCTGTATAACTCTGCATTCTGGAGTCCATTCCAGTTGCAAAACAAGTCGTTCTTTCACCATCTTTAATGTGGTAAAGAATGGTTTTAGTGGTTTTAGAGTCGCTTGGCTGTCTGTGATAACCAGTTGACTTGTCTTAAATTGCAGCAAACCCTTTCGGAATGACACTGAGGGGATCTGGGGAGCAAAAAGTGATTCTGGTGCTCAATCGATAAGACATCGACTCCGACTTCGATAATCCGCAATATTAGGAATAAGCGGGAATTTGCTAAATATGCAAAAATGCCCCTTACTGAAAAGATTTCCTCAGCTTGTGTGCCGAATTCGCCGCCAGTTGCTTGCAGTACAAGTCTATGTAAAGCCTGGATCGGCGTTGTTCTAGGGGAACCACTAGTGCAAGTGCTCGCCACTCTTTGAATGATCACGATACGCTTTACTGCGTATGTCTTTCTATTATTGGACGCCAAACTAATATGATGATTTTACATGTATAAAGTTCATGTGTAGCCTTTTCTACCCTCTATTTAAAGCTAGATTTCCATGAGAGCTTCCGATTCAGTGTTAATCCCAGATAGCTCACTACTTCTCTTAATGGTTATGTAGTACACTTCCGAATTGGTAAAGATGACAAGCTCTGTTTTGCTTGTTTTTGAGCTTAACCCACATGATTCGGCCTAGGGTTTATTAAAAAGTATATAGAAATGTTTGTATAAGATTGATGAGAGTGTCCAGGAACTGAAACAGTCACATCGTCTGCGCAAACCATAACATGAACTCCTTTCCTTTCTATGCCCAACAACTATTTCTTCATAGTTAGGATCCAGTAAAGAAGTGATAGTACAAAATTAACTGCTCTAGGCAATCCATAAAAAGGGCGACCCCACAATGTGCGCCAGTTAAAGTAGGAAATGTCTCCTCAATATCGCATACGTGAAAGGTTCGCCCATATTTACGCCTTTACTAATCTCGCAAGGTCACCGGCTGGACCTACCAAATCTGTTGAGATTATCAGGGAATATTTAACTGTAAAAAACTCATTAATTTTTGAATTTTTGAAATGGATCAGAAGTTGAACTGATTTCCCATTGGCATATCCTTCGTTGCGCAAATAAGCAAGAAAAACGCAGTTGCAACTGTGAAAACAAATGCACTTTCCACTGAAAGCATTTTTGCCCTTAAGCAAAAAAAAAATTATAAAAAAAATATGAAGAAGAAAAAAGAAAACTCAAGAGAAAATCCTAAATAAATAAGTAGAATACAAAATAAACTCACATACAATGCTGAAGACGTGTGTTAGTACGCAAGCAAGGGAAATGCATAAGCCTTTTTATATGTACAAATGATGTAAATATGTATGTATGTGGAAAGCATGCAGGCTCGCCAACATCTTCATAACCTTATAGGATTTATTTGCTTATAAGATGCTTATCAGAGTAAATACACACTGCCACAACTATTGTATATACATATCTATACCGTTATGAGTATCTTGGTTATGAGTATCTTGGTTTCGAACTAACAGTTGAATAATGTAACAAAAATCTAATCAAAAAATAAAAATAAAAATTTAAACAAATATTTGCTCAGGGCTTTACTGCGTGGAAGTTCTCTTAATAAAAATATCAGCAACAAATGTACTACCATATGTAGTATACAAACATATGTAACACACATACTTATATTATATTTTTCATCCCCCAAATATCAGAGATTGACATCTCGATGCCGATGTTTATTTATGCATGTGCATCGATTAACTTCGCCGGCTGACAATGATTTCTGCATCCACAAATGCAATTTCTTCCAGGCCAAAAGTTTCGTTCATTTACGCAAATCATATGCATTATTTAATTATATAGAGCAGTCAATGCATTTTCTTTCTGCTTGATCTATAGAAGATATAAATCAATGGTAGGATAGATATAATATAAATGCATATACATATGTTCACAAAAATAATAAAAAAGAGTTAGAGGGAAAAATGGCATAAAACAAAATAATATAAAATATAAAAAAAATAAAATAAAATAAAATAAAATAAAATAAATTAAAATAAAATAAAATCAAATCAAATACAAAAAATAACATAAAATAAAATAAAATAAAATAAAATAAAATAAAATAAAATAAAATAAAATAAAATAAAATAAAATAAAATAAAATAAAATAAATAAAATGAAATAAAATAAAATAAATGAAAATAAAACAAATAAAATAAAATTAAAAATAAAATGATAAAAAAATAATAGAAATCAAAATAAAATAAAATAGAATAAAATAAAATTAAATTAAGAAAATAAAGTAAAATAAATAAATAATATGTTGATTTCTGACAAATTGTTTTTAAAACACATTTGTGGCCTTTTGCATAAAAGTGAGTATCATCGCTTGTTCCAATACATTTGGAACGTTGATTTTTTGCCCTACTTGACGTATACGCAATCTTTTATCCTCTTTAAATATTTATTTTTTTTTATTTATATATTTCCATTTTTGCTCTATACCGAGATAGGTCTAAATCAATTTCTCATACTTTTCGCTTTACCCTACCTCAACCGGTCATACTCTAACCACAAATCTTTCCCGTACATGCTGGTTGCCTAGCTGAAGCTTCCAATGGCAAATATTAACCCATCAAATATTTACAAAAGCAACATCGTATGTTGCCAACGCGTGAAGACTGATAAATAATATATATTTATATTTACTTACCCTTTCCCCATATATTACATATTCGTATGTTTTACTCTCTACTCAGGGTATCAATGGAGTGTCTAAGAAAGTGGAGGAAGATAGTCAGGGATGATGCTTATTCTTCTAAGTCGGTATAGTTGCTTCTCAATTTGGTTGCAATATTTTTAAATTATTATATTTGTAGATGAAAATAAATGAAAGTTTAAACACCTTTACTCCGCTTTTAGGTATTTTTGGCCTCTTTAGTACACAACCACCACCATTTAATCGAACTAAATTTACTGTTAGCAGAAGTATTAAATTTTGCATACGTATATACATATACACATGCAACTTTGTTCGTTTGTGGTGCGAGCATGTCTGCTATTGAGACTGTCAATTTGTATTGTCTTTTCAATTAGTAAAAGTACATGGAAATGATTTTTGCTTTCGTTCGGTATTCACTGAAATGAGCTTATAACGAAAACAAAAATAAAAGTAAAAAATTACAATGCAAACATTACCCATAATATACACATTTCCCTTTTTTCATACGTTTCTTCTCTTTTTTTTTATTTCAGACATAATTGAAATTAAAACTTGGAATTTACTACTTATTTTAGTTAAACGAAAACCAAAAAATTGTACGTAAAATAAAATGGCATTAAACGCTGAAGATATTGCTGAGATTAAGAAGACCTGGGCTATTCCAGTGGCCACACCAACTGATTCCGGTGCCGCAATTCTCATCAGATTTTTCACAAAATATCCGTCCAATTTGGAAAAATTCCCATTCCGTGATGTGCCAGTGGCAGAATTGAATGTAATTACTGGTTTTAAGAATGCAAAACTTTGTTTAACCATCATTTGAATATAGCTATTGTTGTACTTAATTTAGTTTTACATTATTTATTCACATTATTTAACTAATATCTTTTTATTTTGGTTTTTAATTATACTAATTAGAGTATATTGTTTTATTTTAATTAAATATAGTTTTACTCTAATTAAGTCTTCTTATTTAAGCCAATTTTATTTTATTCCTTTTTATCTTCTTGCCAGTTTCATTTAGTTTTTGAAAATTAAATAAATTAATTTTATATTAATATTGTTTATTTTGTAACAGTTAAGTTTTATTTTATTTTAATTTTATTTATATGTATTTTTATTTCATTCAATTAAGTTTTTAAGTTCAATTATTTTAATTTTTTAATTACTTCAAAAATTTTAGATAAAATTATGTTTTTATATTTTATTACATTTTAATTTATTACATAATGCTCTGTTTCATTTGTCTCTAATTCATTTAATTTAAAATATATTTTTAATTTATTTTGATTTGTATTCAATTTAGTATAATTAATTCTTTATATTATTTTGTTTTATTTTATTTCATTTCATTTCATTTTATTTCATTTCATTTTATTTCATTTGATTTTATTTTATTTTATTTTATTTTATTTTATTTTGTTTTATATTATTTTATTTTATATTATTTTATATTATTTTATATTATTTTATTTTATTGAAACTAAATGAAATTAAAACAAAAAATAATAATTCACTTAATTTATTTTAACAGAATAGCGCACGTTTCCGTGCCCACTGTGGTCGTATCATCAAGACTTTTGATCAATCAATCAGTCAACTGGGAGAGGAAGGAGGTCTGGAGAAAATTCAGGACATTTGGCAAGGAATTGCCAGCTCGCATGTCCAACGCCATAACATTCCCAAGCCCTCATACTTTGTAAGTAAACGTAATTTTTAAAAATAATCGAAAACTATTCAAATACAACAAAAAAAATTTATAATAAATTTGTCTAATTGTAATTACTGAAACTTTTCTGGTTAAGAAATTTTATTTTATTTAAAATTAAATTTTAATTGTACTAAAATTTCATTCGCTCTCTTTGTTTAGGAACTGCGCGAAGCCATTGTGGAAGTGCTCAGCGAAGCGTGTAATTTAAACGAACGTCAAGCGGAAGCCTGGAACAAATTGCTGGATATTGTGTACGACATCATCTTCAAGAAGTACGACGATTTGGGAGCCCAATAATGCTGGAGGAACTACAGGAAAGCGGCAGATTACTGAAATTGTATACATACACATGCATGAATCACACGTTGCATATGGAACCAAAGTAAATAAATGAAAACACACAGCACACAAAGGGACACTCACACGCACATGCATACCTTCATACATATGCATATTCATTTAGGGGATATCAACATTGACGCTTTAACCTGCTTTTTGTAGCGCAAATATATTTAAGTGTGACGGCAAATTAAATGATTAAATGGAGAATTTAGTGTTAAACAAAAAGAAAAAAAGAAATATAATACTATAGTAAAATAAAAAAAAATATCTTAAAACATATCTCAAAGCAAACCATACAGCTTAACAAGACACCAATACCGCAGACCACCACCACCAGCCAGCCGCAATAACCAGGCGCCACGCTTACGAAAAAAACGCCTTGGCTTTGTCATTGTTGCTGCTGCTGCCTGTTTCCCTTTTGAAGCGTCGCGAGGCGCTATTGTTTGTTATTTTGTGCACTTTCTGTAGCTGTTGTTGTTACACCTCTATATACATACCTCTGGGCATACATATCTGAACGCAGTGGTTGTTGTTCGTTGTTGCATTTTGTGTACATGTGTATACCACCCATAGAAAATTTCTGTGTCTAGGCCGCTATATTTAAATGTACATACATATATACTGACATATGTATACCGAACCAGATATACACACCCACATAAACATATACATATATAAACAAATGTGCTATGTACTCTTAATGTTTCCGTTTACCTCTTAAAAGTATATAATATATTTAAAAAAAAAAAGGAAGAAAAAATAAAAAAAATTTTGCTAATGGTTTCTAAACTTTGTAATTTTGTGAATAATGTAAAATGTAAGAAAATAAATAATAAAATTATATAAAAATACTAAAAACATAGAATTTGATCCGAAGGCGTTTTGTTGTAGCGGTTTTCCAACCTTGTTCCGAACAGTCATCGACGTCATCTAACGGGAGGTCCAGAAAATGAAATGGAAGCAATAACCTGAATCCTAAGCTTGTGCAAGGATTAACGCTCCGCGCACAAATATTACGAACAAAATTAATTTTGCTAAAATTTTTTAATTAAAAAAAATAGATTTTTGAAAATAAAAAAATTTTTGGTTCGAAATTTTTCAAGCTCAACCAACTGATTGCATGGAGAAAACAATGGGGAAAAAAATGTATTACTATTTTCTTAAGCAATTGGGAGCGATCTGAATAGACTACACCTCGCGTTTACTCTAATGTATAATGCACAGCCACAGAGATGCCGTACAGAGCATATCACTGCTACTGTGGAACAGAGTAGCGAAGAAAACCCGAATGAACTGTAGAAAAGGCGCTTAGAAACTGGAGCTGTGCCTAACCACATTATGGAAGTGATTGTAGCAGGATCTTGGCTTACGGGCTCCAGTTCGTACAAAAAATGTAGCCAAATGAGGATCAAACATATCGAACGTTCGGTAAATGGACCCAAAACCAAGATGGCCTCCTACCCCAATTTCCACACAAATTTGAATGGGTACGTCATCAAACAAAAATGTCGCAAAGGAGACTGCTGGTGAGCGATTCAACATCAATAAACTATTTTTTGTGAGGTTATGTGGAGTCGTTTGTCTATGTAGGCCAATCCGAGCTAACTGATAATTTGGGAAGATAATATTCCACGCATTATTGCTGATACACAACCCCATTTGCAGCAACAAGTGGTCGGACCTTCCAACCGGAACTCATTCTATCCATCCGCGTTGGTCGCTTGCCCGAAATAATTTTTTCTTAGCCACGCTCGTTAGGTTGTAAGCGCTTCATTTCTTCTTAAAAAACAGTTACCTAAAAAATAACCCTTTATAATGATTCAGCGTAGCGCGCACTGCGTTCGTTTGATTTTGAAGAATTTGCATTTTCCTTCTACCAACCACCACCGTTATAATCTTGAAGCTAAAAGACATTTTCAATTTCAATAAATACATTTGGCAAAACGCCAGCATTTGCACTACGATTATAAGTAAAATATGGAATGTAAGTAAACAATGCGTAAAATCCATGAACTACAAGCAAGGAAGAGCTAAATACAGATGGAGCCGCCATTGAAAATTTGACATTCTTAGTCTTACGAGGACAAAAACCAGCTGAGCAGCGGCGCCTTCGTAATTAATATATCGCAGATTCCGGAATACATTTCCAATGGTCACTAGTGGGATCTCTTATGCGAGACTGTGGTCTATGGTCTTGGAGCTAGTTTATACAGTGTGGGTCCTAAGCATACCTCGATTCGGTTTCGATTTTGCACACATTCTGGCATCAAGACCGACGCCCGCTTGCAAAAATTCTTCTAGTGAACAGCCACTAAGTTATACTTCAGCAAGCCCTTAAGCTTAAGCCTAAAGTTTAGCCATCACCCAAGTCCCCATGCGGGGCCTGGTGAAATGGCTAAATCAGTCGATGGTTACAATCTTACCAACAGTGACAGCGAGAACTAAGACTACATATCAGTTTTCTTACATTTCAATTTAAGAATTCTCAGCTTAAAGTAAAAAGTTCGACAAGGATAAGGAGTCACCTTGTCTCGAACCTCGTTTGACATCGAAAGGCTGCGAGAGATCCTTGCTGATACTGACTGAGCTTTTTGTTGTAGCGTCGTCTAATTCAGACATAGCCACGTAGAGGCAACTCCTTTTCATGCAATCGAAGGATGCTTTGAATTCGACAAAGCATCCTTCGACAGCACGAGTCTTTTCTAAGGTGATTAACGGCGGAATCAGATTATTAACGGTGGGCTTTGGTCTTAAACAAAACACGCTCGATAGGACATTATATATTCTATTGAGGAAGCTTATCCAGTGGCAATTGTGGCAAAATGTGTGATGCATATTTAAATGGACGGATTTAACTTTCTATCGTCGGGCTCACTCATCCCAACAATTTCTACAAAGAAGCTGATGCAACCGCTTTCTCAATACTTTGCCAACATAGCTGTACAGTTCAGTCGGTAAACCATCGCTTTACACCAGTTTATTATCCTTCAGGCGTACAAATGCCATTCGGACTTTCCGTAGTCGTGCAATGTAGCGTCGTCTAATCCAACGTCATTGATCGGAAATTCGGGCTCACCACCTCTGGGTATTTCACTTTCACTGACATTAAGAAGGCTCCCTCTAGACTTCCAATATACTACGTGCTTCAGTGCATATATCACCTTTTTGAGTCTGCGGTCTTGAAATCTTCTGTTAGTCCACATATCTTTGGGTAGAATTTTCGAGCGTTATCCGTGCTGTCAAGCTTCTCACACCTTTCATACCCATGCATTTCAGTCTCTCGTTTTTCTGTCTGCAAATGCTACTCCCGGTATTTCTTCAACAGAGCGCGTGTTACGGTTCTCTTCACTTCGATATGAAATTCTTCAATTTGTTGACTCTTATTTTAAAGTTTTAGAATTAATTTTTGTAATTTTATTTTTACAAAAGATCAGTCGTATTCACCCTATCAAGCAGGCTAACAGGTGTAGTTCAGCATTAACAGTTCGTTGCTGGCAGAGCTTTCGACGTATTCAAAAAGTGACTGCAACCGTTAAAAGCTCTTCAAACAAATGTTCAGCACATCAACAGCTTTATTTGCTTGGGTTTCAAAGAACATTTCAGCGCTCTGTTTAACGACTGTTGTGTTACTTCAAACGCATATCTCACTTATCACAACCCATCCAACCAACAACAACACAATGTGTGTAAGAACAGTAAAGAGTTCCGCTGTTAAAATGATAAGACAATGCTCGATAAGGCATTTTGTTGTTGTTCTTTTATATTTATTAGAGTTGCAGCGGGCTACTAACGGCAATGGTAAGTAACGTTAGTTTCAGTTACGCGTTGATTGCAGTCTTGTGTGCTTCATTTAAAGCGAAATTTGTTACGACCCAACGACGTTAATAAAGAATCAGACATAAGTGGCAAAAGAGGGACGTATTTCGTAAAATATGGGCGAAAATTCGGACGAAATGAAGTGTAAATAATAAAAGTGTGTGAAAAATTAAGAAATAAAAATTAAATAGAAAAATAAAAATTACATAAAAAAATGTAAATTATATAAAAAATTAAATGATTTAAAAAGTTTCCATGCCAACCAATGTTTTGACTTTGAATATTAGTCACGTGTGCGTGTATGTGTGTGTGTGTGTGACTATATGATTTTACAAATTCGCACTAAACTGTGATTGCGGAGGCGTGTGATAATGTGTGTGCTCAAAATTTTTGTTAACGGTAATTTATGCAAAAACAACAATATTTTTTGACGAATTGCTCACGTCGGCAAAATTAAAATGTTAAACGGTATTTATTTAATGTTAACAAATGAATAACCACTTCGGAAGTAGTTTAGTAGTGTACTGATGTAATGATAAATAAAGTGATGTTATCGATATCTATTTTTAATGATGTAAGTTTGTAAATCATCAATTAGTGAGGTCTTCAACTTTATTATTTATATATGTGATGTGTGTAGATTTTTTTTTTTCTTAAGTGTGTAGACAAGCAGTACAATTGTGTATATATATACATATATTTTTTTGAACAAAAGTGCAAAAAATGTCTAACGATTATTTACCGTATTTAGGAAAAGAAACTAAATAAAAGAAAAAAAAATGGAAATTATCCCAAAATGTGTGCTTGTTTTTTTCGTGATGATAATATAATTTTGTTTTAATAAAATAAATTATAAATAAAATAATTAAATAAATCAGTACCATTCAGGCTAAAAACAGCTTAAATTACCATTAGCGCAGGAAGTCTGTATCTTCAAAAATATTCCAATATTCTTCAGGCATGTGGTTTTGAAGAAGAAACTAAGATCATATAATTTAATGTCATGGCAAAAAAAAATATATATATGAAAATGGGGTTTTGTAAGCTCTGAAGCGATTTTTTCGGCCGAGCTCTTCCCTCAATTTGTGATTTTGCGTCTTGATATTTTTCCCGGAAAATGGAGTTACCTATGAGGAGCTTTATTTTATGTCCAAATTTAACTTAAGTTTTATTTAAATTAATTTTCAATAACTTTTGGATTGGAACCCGAGCCTTCCGAATGTCAGTACGCAATGCTAACCACACGTTTATCGCGGCAGATTTAATATAAATTTGTTTTAAAAATAATATCGGGCAAGTGACCACCGCGGCTGGCTCGAGTAAATTCCATCCGAATGGCCCAATATCCGATCACCTTTTACAGCAATTGCAACGGTATGTCTGTACACGCCGAATATACTCTTCCAGGGCTTAACTACATATTAATAATCCATAATCGCATAATTTTCCTTCCATAAAGAACCATCCATTTAATTGAAACTAACGGTCGTCCCCTACAACATCCAATAGTCCAGGTGCGAAGAACTTATTAATGATGCTGCTATAGCATTTCCCATTGGCTCTAACACCATGGCCGACATAATTTTTCAAGAAATACGCAACAATGATTCCATCTGTCTACATAGCAAACGATAAAGTGATTTTTGTTAAATTATCATAACTCCACATGCGATTTTCTTTATTAACATACTTTTTCCATTAAAAGGGAGTTTCATCGCTGAACAAAATTTTCATGTGAAAATCGCGAAAGATAGCTATCACCCGCTCAGCTAACAGGCGACACGTTTGATGAATTTTGTAAGCCACAAAACAAGACCTCAATAAAGTGGATGGACACAGCTCCAATTGCGCGCGATGGCGGATAAACTCATTCGCGTCTTTTTCGATACTCTGCTCCACAGCAATAATCGCGTATTCACCGTACACTGTACGGTATCTCTGAGCAGGCGCGTTGCGTAACCAATCCTCAGTTGTTCAAATTACCGACTCTGCTGGGCGATTATTTCGATCGGGGCGTTGAGCGAACCGAACAAATATTTTGGTGATAAATATACTCGATTTGCAAAGGTTGTCTATAGAAAACGCCCATAAAAAGGGTAATTATTTAGTTACAATTTGTTAGTTGAATCCGAATCTAATCAATTGTTGCTAACCTTGTAGCTGCAAGGATATGAGGAAATGTGATAACTTCTATCTACTTTCTTAAAAATAATTATAAATATATAAACAAGTTCTGAGGAGTATTAATTTTCTCGGTTTTACCATGATAAAAGATCGCTTATTACATGAAAAAATAGAAAAAATTTGGAACTTGGGTAAGTCAAAAAAAAAAATACTTATGACTGTGAAATTTTTTCTAGCTGATTTTGCATCACAAACAAAATTATTTTGACAAGCTATGGAAAGTGAAATGTTGTTTGGATTAAAGCAATTGTTTTAATGTAATTGATATTGGTTTTCTTTCAGAATTTCGAAATACCATTCCACAACCAATTAGTGCTTTGTTGAAATTTCGACTTTTTTCCTCCGAGTTCCCAGTGTGCGCCGGTTTTATGTTTGTATAAAAATTTTAAAATAATTAAAAAATTTATTTTTTTTTGAAAAATTCTTGGATTTTAGCTCAAAAATATTGAATAATTTTATAAATAAATTTCAATATTAATATTATTAAGGCAAACAAGTGAAAATCATTAAAACAAAATTAAATAACAGTCCATTTGTTATTCATACTTTATTTAACATTTTGCTGGAATATTTCGTTGCAAAGATATTGAAAAAAGTTCGTGGCTAATTATTATAAAATTTTATGCTTAGTTTAACGTTCCATAAACTGAGAACATTAAAAATTAAAATGAATTAAATGAATTTATTAAAAACTAACAACGAGTGCAGTTCCCAGTGAATAATAGAAAAAGTGGTAAAAGTGAAAGAAATAAAGCAAGAACTTTTGGGCTCAAAAATATCTGATACACGGACGTGGCTAGATAATTATTTACGTGAAATTTATGTTAAAAAGTAAGTCAGTTTTTTCATTTGAAAAATTATAATTTAATATACAAACTTAACTCATTTTATATTTCATTTGAAATTCGGCAGTCTACACCAGAAACCCTTTAAATAGGTGGATATTTTAGTTAGATTTATGAGGCAAAAAGCATAGCAAGATATTAAACAAAAAGCTCTAATATCCAAATATTTAGAGGGTTTCTGGTATAGACTGCCGAATTTAATCTATTTCATTTTATTTTTATTCGTAAAAATAAGAAGCATGGAAAAGAAAAGAAAGTTATATATTTCTCAAATTATTTATTGGATAAAAGACAAATTTAAAAAAGTGAATTTATGGGCCGTTTGAAAAGTTTTAGACCTCCAAAGAAGGATCTTCAAGAAAAAAATATGACACTTTTTCAATTTTTGCAGCAATTTAAAAGTATAATATCGATAACTCTTTGAATAAACAAATATCCCAGCCTCGAAATATACGAAATTTATACACGAAAATAATCAATGTTTATTCCATAGCGTAACGTCGGTAGTTCTGCGTCGTTTAGCGTTTTTTTTTTAATCAAGATCATTCAAAAAAACATTAATTTTGGTAGGCTCTTGTTGAAAAATATAGTCTGGAGAAAAACATGTTAATTTAAAAGTCTCCGCGTTCTTTTTTTTAATTTTTTGAAAATTTTTTCTGTAACAAAAAATCGTTTTAATCAGGTACTTATTGCTCTTAGCTATTTAAGCCCTTTTGAATTCATCATTATAGAACTTATGTGTTATATAAGCGAAGAACTTGGCCAGATGATTCTCAGCGGTTCTTCGGTAGGCCAATTTTTTGGCATCTAGTGAATTTTACAGAAACCGAAACAAATGGTAGTCAATGGTGCCAGGTGCGGCGTATACCGTGAGTGCATTGAAACTTCTCAATCATGCTCCGACAATTTCTGCTGATCTTCAAATATACCACATGCATATGTTGGATTTATCTTGATGAAAGAGCACATTTCTGCCTTTGATTAATTATGGATGCTTGAGAAGCTTGGTTTATGTAAGCCTCAGCGATCTTTGACAGCAAAGCTGGTAATTAACTATTACCTTTCTACACCATCAAGTCAGGGTTCCAACAATTTTGCCTTTTTTCGTTTTACATTTTTTCCAAAAAATTACGTAAAACGAAAATTGCTTTCTTATTTCCTTCCAATTTGGAGCAGACCAATTATAAATTCCTATTTTTCAAAAAGGGTTCCTCTTTATTGTGCCTGAAAGTCTATTTAGCGGACGCAATAGCCGAGAAGCTCTTGACTTGGCGAAACCGTCACCTTTCTGCTTTACGAAAATTTGCATATGGCCGGGAAGTCAGATTATGGATATGTTGAGTATTGAACTTGGACTTTTCATATTCAATATTTGGCGCTCCAGGTGTTGTCTACACCTAGCACTTCCGCTTGTAAGATACTACCTATGCTTGGCAGCTCTATAGAGAGAGAGGGTGGGAGGGGGAAAATGGATTAGAAGAAAGAGAGGGAGAGATAGAGGTAGAGACAGATGGTGGGAGGGGGAAAAATGGATAAGAAGAAAGAGATAGGGAGATTGAGAGAGAGGGTGGGAGGGGGAAAAATGGATAAGAAGAAAGAGAGAGAGAGAGAGAGAGAGATAGAAGAGAGAGAGAAGAAAGAGAGAAGAAAGAGAGAAGAAAGAGAGAAGAAAGAGAGAAGAAAGAGAAGAGAGAGAGAAGAGGGAGAGATAAGAAATAGAAGAGAGATGGAGGATAGAGAGAATGATAAAAACAGAGTGGGAGATAAGTCAGAATCCTTGGTTTATAGCCCCCTTCCCACCCCAGTTAATTTTGTACCCCTCGGTATAGGTACAGATGTTATTATCCCTACCTGCTATACTCCTTCGCCACTCACGACTTTAAGGGGTATTACAATTGGAAAGAACTTTCAAAATACAACCTTGGGAGAATATAATCTAATAGCAGAGCATGCTGCTACTTTTTGTCTACAAACATTTAGGGTCGAAGCTTGTTAAACGTATCAGCTGTACATCACATAATAGCGCCTTTAATCCCTGCACAAGTTATTCTTTATAATCTATTTAAATTCGTGATAATTTTTTTTTCTACTGCTGGCCATCAAAACCATGCTCCAGCTGATCTGAAAATGGCAGCACCGAGTTATATTTCGGATCTTGAGATATTGATGCCCAATACCCGTTGAAGCCGTAACAATGGACCCATCCTTCCTATGGAATTTGCAAAGTTTTTTTTCCTGAAACTAATATTTAGTGTAAATCTAATATTCTTAAATGCATAAATAAAGTAAATACTCGTATGTATTTAACTATTTAAACACATGTAGAAAAATACATGCACATATACATATTTACTGTGAGGGTATATCGCGTGCAGGCTTATCTTTCGATTTATCGCAATACAGTGAGGTGTAATATTTCATAATAATTATGGAATTTTCCTGGATGACAATTGGTTGTCCGCGGCATTTATGTTATAAAGGGTGCTTATTTTTAGACTTGCGCATGACCAAGAATTCAGCGCTATTATAAGGATAAGGGTTTGCCAATATGCTTTAAAAAATATTTGACCGTGTCATGGCTGGTTCGTATATATTCCAGCCAAGAGGCACAATTTGCTGCAGCGACTGCAAACGTATGTCAGCAATATCACCCCGAATGTTCTCTGCCAAGTCCTTAATCGTCGCGGGCTTATCTGAGAAGGCAAGTAACGCTGCCTCTGAAGATGCGTAATATTCACTAGAGTAAACATGCTGAGAAACCAAGCCATGATTGCTCGATTTATCGACTCTGCTGGGCGATTATGTCGACGGAATGTTAGACTTACAATGTCATGCGCTGCCTGAGCAGAACCATTATTTCGGTAACAAATTAGCATGCTTTGCAAACGTTCTTCCAGGATAAGTCAGTTCGTTATGAAATGGCAAACCGAAGTGAGTGTATATCAAGTAACCGTTGTCAAAAAGACTCACTTCGAAAAAAATATTGTCTCATTGAAAAGCACACGTCTAAAAAGAACACGCTTTATAATTCCGCTGTGTTATCCTAAACTAATTCGCGTGCAATAAAATTGCGCTAAATGTGAATTTTTTTAAATTGAAGCGATAAAGTAATAAATCATTGACCAAACTAGGATGCAGCAGAGTGATAAAAAATAACTGCAGGCGTAACAAAATGTGGATGGAAATTATTTGATTTATGAAACAGCAATAGCAATGATGCGGAAATAATTAAGTTTTCTATATATATGGGTAAATAAGTAATGAATTGGCTTACACCTTTAATTATTTTTTTATTTAAAAAAATATTTTTGAAAAAAAAATATTTTGGGTTTCTATATATTTATGCCTTAACCGATTACGCCAAGAAAAGGTTATGAAATAAATTTGAAAAACAAACCAACGTAATTTGGGTCAAAAACAAATTGAAAAAAGTAATCAATTTATTCACTCACTTTGCATACGCATATAAATAACCGACATTACATCCAAAATCTTCTCGTTGCCATGGCGTATGAGTAACAAATCATTATGTTTGGCGCCTAAAAGACTGCCTACTGTCATAAATCGAACTAAGCCAAAGCGTTTGTGCCCACGCCTGCTTGTCGCTTGTCAGCGCATTTCGCAACGGTTGTCTGTCAATCGTACATCTTTGTTATCACTGTATTTGTTGATGTTGTTGGCACTTGTTTTTGTATCATATGCATGGGAATGATGACTTGCTTACCGATTTTCTGCTTAGATTTAATGTCGATTTATATCTTGGACATCTACTACTTGCATCTATGTATATGCAGATGAATGTGCAGTAACAACTACATATACGTGTATGTATGTACTGTGTGCTGACCTACGCTTGCAGGAATTTCTAATCAGCACCGCATGAGCTCAGGCGTACATGTGTGCTTGGCGTAACTGCGACATGATGCAGCGAGGCGGATGAAATTGGAAAAGTTTTCCATACTTAGTTCAAAATTAGAAGTTCTGTGGCCAATTACTGTTATCATCCCGTAAGTTTTTCACTTTATAGCTGATAGAGGCGGTGGCATCATAGGAGCCGCTGCTATGAAATGGGGTAAAACATTAAATTATATTTGGAGAAGCAATACCACGAATTATGAACGAAATAGTTAAAATTGTTAAAGAATTATTTCCCAAATTTCTCAAAATAATTAAAAAATTTTACATCTACCCGGCTTTATCAAATTGTCAAGTTTTCGAACCAAAATTTGTTCGAAATACTAAATGAGAATTTTTTTTGGTATAATTCACATTTCTCTGGCGGATTCCCTCAATCTTTCTGTAATAACATACAGAGCGGACTACGGCTTGTCGTTAATGACGTTGACTTAGGCACTTAACAACAGTAAAAGGACATTTTTTATTTACTAGGAAATTTAAGACTGAAAATCTACCAACTTCAATGCTCTCCTTAATGCGGCTTTGAAATACTTTTGGCTCAGAACTCGGAGGAACGGATGCGAAAATCGGCTACTACTTTCCTTACTTGCAAACGCCAGTTTAATTTTGGTCAAAAAATTGGTATGCCACAAAAATAAGTGCTTAGGATTCTGTTGTAGCCAATAGGAAAATGAGTAGGCTGGGAAAAAAGCTCGGGCGGTCCTGATACCAATTTTTTGGTTACTAAGAGTATACTCGAGAAATCATCGAGAGAGGGAGAGATAGAGAGCACAAAAATTCAAGAGACTAATGGGTACACGAAATGAAGATGGTCGCAGTTGGCTCTGACTCATGTAAAAGTCTTTTGAATCTCCACCCCCGCTTAACGCAAGATCGAATATTTCAGGCGATCTAATGGCTCTTTACTGCTTAGACTGTGGGTAAACATTTTCCACGTCATTCTCGTAGCGTAATGAGTATACAATGCGGCTTGTAGGTGGGGTATCGTGCTCTCTCTCGCTATGCGCTCTGTAGTGCGTGAGCGAGTTACCACCAGCAGAGGCAAGTAAACGAACGAAGTTCTGCCTT